TGAACACAAACAGGGTCTCATGCTTCAGTCTTAAAAACAAAGTTTAGGAACAGTGAGATTTTTAGAGTAAATTTACACCTGTAAGTACTGGGAAGGGAAGACAGATGAGCAAGATATTGAGGCCTCCCACTTTCACTCAGAATTTACCTCTCTACAGCTCTGCGGATGTGTGCCATCCAGGAATTCCTCTCCTCTTTGGAGCTGGTGTGAATTTCATACATTTCTGGTCCTTTCAAGGAAGCGCTAATTAAGAACATTGCCTTTTCCTCATTAGCTACCTCTCTTACAATCAGCTTTTGCAGTGAGATAACTGGTGGCTTGGAGTCCTGTAAAACAAAATATGATTTACTGCACTACATCTTATATATTCTTTAGGGTTTGTGCTTCCTCACTCTCCCTGTCTTCCTTCTTACACAGGGTCACCATGAGCTGTAACATCACACCATCAATTTATTGCTACAATCCCTTCAGGGGACACTTTTGACATTGTCATTTTTTTATTCATCAACCACAGATCAAAATGTGAAGGGTGTACATTTCAAAGCCAAGAAGTCTTGGTACTTTTTTGAGTACTAAAGCATGGATCAACTTATACACCTGAGGATTCCTCCTACTGGGACCCAGAAGTCAAGAAGAGGCTCAAAAACCCAAAATCTGATCAAGAAAAAACCTTAATGATGCATGTGAAATGCAAGAAGAGAAGAGGAAGTGTTAGAAGTTCTAAGTTAGCTACAAAAGAGATCAGAGCTAACACAGAGGTGTCCCAGAGTGCCATCGGGCCCTGTGAACACTGAAACCAGCTGACAGGTTGTCTATGGTATAACTAAGGATTAACTGGATTAGCTGTCAGTCTTTGCAATGAAAACCCAGGTACAGGAGGGGTATTAGTTACTGAAAACCTATCTATGCTTCACCCAGCACAGGTAGCCCAGAAAGACCCTCCCCAGAAGAAAACAGCTTTTTAGCTGCTGAGCTTTCCCAGCATAACTGAGAGGGATGATACAAAAACTGAGTGGTGAAACAGATGTCAGGTTCTGCCAACCTCTGAGCAGCTGTACTGCAGTTCCAGCCATGAGCAGAGGTCACTGGAAAAACAATCACCAGGCAGATCCATCTGCTCCTCTCACTTTATTTGCCTAAGAAAACAGCTTTTTAGCTGCTGAGCTTTCCCAGCATAACTGAGAGGGATGATACAAAAACTGAGTGGTGAAACAGATGTCAGGTTCTGCCAACCTCTGAGCAGCTGTACTGCAGTTCCAGCCATGAGCAGAGGTCACTGGAAAAACAGAATCACCAAAGCAGATCCATCTGCTCCTCTCACTTGATTTGCCTATGGAGAAGTGACACCTCAATTTCAAATAAGCTGTATATGTACAAAGATGCAAAACTGGATCAGTCTGTAGGTGTAGAGCATGGTACTGGAGTGGGGGAAAAACCCACCATGTGGCAGAGATCAGCTTCTGGGGACTGTCATAAGCAACTGCATGGTATGTGCTCACAGAAAAGTTGCTAGGGGACACTTGAAGCAGGGCATGACCTTGCAGGGGAGCAGCTATACTGACTAAGAAGGTATAGGTATGCTCTTTAGCTTTAATGTAAGCTACTCACATTTAACTCAGAGCAACAGCAGTCATATGGGAACTGCCCCACCAGTCCAGATGCTGTACATTAACAGCATGTTCCTCCTTCTCTATGGACCTGCTCTTCTGCTCAGAGCTTAGATGTGCTTTGGAAAACAGGGTGGAATTATTCTACCAGAGACAATGTCAAAAAATGAACTACTGTTGAAAGAGTCACCTCATGCTGTTCAAGAGGAAACAACCTCCAGCCCTTCTGATTTTTGAAAGTATCCCCATTCTGGGCATTAGAAGCAGGGTAATTTGAAAAGCAGTTGCTTTTATAGCCCTGAGGTCACCCAAATAGCTTTTGCCATTAGAATTCAGCTCTAATGTTAATGTCTTGAAAAACACACCCAAGAAAACAATTCCATTAAATAGTTTCTCTGCTACTGGTTCTCTACAGCCATAACTGAACTAGATCAGGACAAAATGTACACAATTAACTGCTCTGAGGATACCTGTGGAAATGCCCTAGAAAAGCAAGTGAATCCACTGAGTGTTCTGCTGTGCTGCAGTAATTACATTTGCATTAGTGCTTATTCCATTTACTTCAGGAAAGTTCTCTGCTCCCAGTATATCTTAGGCTACTATGACACTGGCTACCACGACCCTAACCAAAATGGAAGATTCTTCATTAATAAACAGAAGCAGACTGTATGAGAGCAGCCTAACGAAGTCCAGTGAAAGGAGAAGTCATGGCACAAGAAAAGGAGAAGCAGCAAACCTCAGAATATGCTCAGGGCATCAGAAAACCCCAGGGGATGTGGCAGCTGGAACTGGCTAATGCAGGGGAACCCTATTTTGCACTGCAGGATGGGTTCAACAAGTACCAGAACTCCTTCAGACAAAGCAATTCTATAATAACTGGATGGTTTAGTAACTTCATTTTCCTTCTGACCCTACCACAAGTATCTAACATCTCTAACTGTATTTTTTTTCTGTAGAATAACTACTAGAATAAATATTGCCACTTTAATAAATATTCAAAGTATTAAGTAAGGAGAACAATACCTACCACTGATGCAAAGGTGTATTTTTGGTCCTTTTCTTGTAAGAGCAACAATACATCAGTTAATAGGACTGCCAGAATATCTACAATAACAACAGAGAAAAAAGAATACAAAGATTTTAAAGCAGAAAGACTGGTCCAGACTGAAAAAAATCACATGACTTAAATGTCCTATCGGTCAGGGAATAGCAAGTCAACGTTTGAAGTATTGGATTTGCTACTGACTTCCACTTGGGCTGTCCACAGCCAGCTTGCAGGAGTGCAGAAGCAGCACAATACAAATAGAGCTGATTTAAAGCTTGAATACATCTCTGCAGGCATCCTGCACATCAACTCAAACACTCACAAGGGAACATGTCTCCCTCAACAGCAGATTCTTCTGGAACTGCAGATGTTTGCAGCACCACCTACTCTTGGCTGCATTTATTGTGCCATTGAAGCTGCTTCTTAGGACACTTAAGTGATGAAGCTGTTAAAATATTCACTGATGGACACTGGTTTGATTTTTTGGCAAGGCAGACGTTGTGCAGAGTGAAGGTGTCATGGGGATGACACGACACAATCTTTCAAAGTGTGAAGCAGAGCTCGCACAGGATAATGCCTTGCCACAGGAGACTCAGGCAGGATGACTCAAAGCTTTGTCATCTGCCTAAAGACCTCCCTCTTGAAATGGAAAGCAGATCAGCTAGATAATAAGTGAAGAGCATAAGGAACTTATCATGCACCATTACAGAGATGCTTATTGGACAAGCCAAGAATAGAACAAGTGCTATTTCCTCCAATATCCTATTAAACAAGCAGGTTATTGTCATCTTATTTTATACCCAATCGATCGGTGATAAACAGTTACTAAAAAAAAAAATAAAATCTTGTTCCCTAGTTGTACTTTTCCCCTTCCTGGTCCTTTACCTTTGAGCCGCCCGGAGGCAGCTTTCCAGTAGAGCATCCCATCCAGCAGAAGCCGCCTCTGCCCCATGTCATCCTTCCTGAAGAACAGCCCATTCTTGCACTTCCCAGATGATTTGAGCTCCATTTTGTGCATGATCTCTTTCAGGCGCTGACCCTTCTCACACTCATTTACCATGGCATCGACGTGAGTGATTGTGTCCTTAATTAAACTAAGGGCCTGGGTCAGCTCTTCGTAATCTCTAGTTCCAACTGAGAGAAAAAGAGCAGCAGTCAGTCACATTTTCAACTCTGGAATGCAAGATATGAGCCACCCAAATATATGGCAAGGTGAAGGTTCCATACTGAACATCTAAAAGTATTTCTAAGAGTTAAAGCTTAAAAATAAAAAAATATCCTAAAGCTCTAAATCTCTAATGAACTGACAGGTTTAAGCTACTCTGGTTTTGTGGCTGCAGTCTTGGAACTGAACACTGCTCCTGACCCTCTGATGAGGTGAGACTGAGCTGGATCTGCCTCTAGAAGGGCATCATCAGCTAATGAAGAAGTGAGAAAGCAGGTACATAGCAGCACCAGGCTGTCCCTCCTTGTCTGAGGACAGAACATGCAAAACATGGGAGAAAAAGGCAACTGTGAGATTTCTAGGGAAGATTGAGCAGCCTACCTTCTGTGTTCTGTATAATGCGTTCCACCAGGACGGGGTATTTGGTGATGCGCTGGGTCACTAGAAGGATACACTCCTGCACTCCAAGTCTCCTCACGATGGAACAGTTCCCAATTTTCTACAAAACAAGACAGACTCAGCACATCCATTGTGCCTATTGCTCTGCTGACTCCTGTGCCTCTCCCTTCACACAATTTGTGTCTCAAAATGTTTTTGTCTAATTAAGCACAGCACCATAGAATTAGCTGCACTCTTTTACTAAAGCAAAATTTTTAAAAAAAATTTCCTTTTACTTCCTTCTGCTTTTACCCACTGGAAAATATTTCTGAAAAAGTGCCTATTGCTCTGCTGACTCCTGTGCCTCTCCCTTCACACAATTTGTGTCTCAAAACGTTTTTGTCTAATTAAGTACAGCACAATAAAATTAGCTGCACTCTTTTACTAAAGCAAAATTTAAAAAATTTTCCTTTTACTTCCTTCTGCTTTTACCCACTGGAAAATATTTCTGAAAAATACTTCTGGAAAACAATGGTCAAAACCAAATACACTTGGTGTTTATCTTACTCCTGCATGTTCATCAACAGGCTGATCTACAGAACCACGTTTTGGTTTAGAAAGAGAAGACTATGAAGCATCAGAATTCCCCTAGTCAGTCAGCCTGCAGGCACAGCACAATCTGACAGCAAAAGATGGTACCAAGATCTTCTAACTTCCTTGAAAGTAAAAGGTTCTCACTTTGAAAAGACACCTACTTAAGAAGAGCTCTAAGTACGGAGCTATGCTGGAAAGTTCAAGCAGTATCACTTACTGATGACTGGAAAATGAGAATACTTAGGGCTGTGCAATGCATCTGAGATTCAGGTTACAGGCTGTCACCCTGGCTGTG